TTTAATCATACTTAAACACCATTTCAAAGGATGAAAAGGGATATGGTCTAGAGCCTTTGAATCTTCTCCTTGATTGCTTAGATATGATTTGTCTTAATCGACCATTGGAGCAATCGTCCTCCATTAAAAAAATTCTAATTTGATTCGTCTCAAACTATCTTTCGTAATCAAACTTAAGCAAACTCATTTTTGTAATAACTAGGACGAAAAATAAGGTGGTTTAGAGCCTTATATTCCCTTCCCCCAAGTACTTGGATATGAGTTACCTTACTCGATCATTCGAGTATTTGTCGTCCATCCAAAATACCATAACAATATTCAAACCTTTTCGTAATTAAGGATGAAAAGGGTGATGGTCTAGAGCATTTGATTCCTCTCCTCGATTGTTTGGATATGAGTTGCCTTACTCGATCATTCGAGCAATCGTCATCCAAAAAAACACTCAAACCAACCTAGAATACAACTGCCATTAACATGCCCCTGCCCATAAAAATAACTTGAAGTGTTTGAGCCTGGCTAACATTAGCCTGAAAAATGGCTGATGCAACTAACTATTTTGGAATAACCTCAAATTATGCTAGAACTGCTCTATTTGAATAAAATGCAAGCACACCATTTAGTTTGACTATTCGGTCACTTATTAAGCGATACTCATTCTGGCACACTCTTTTGATTAACTCTTTTACCTTGTCTTTAGTCTTAGTTCTTATGGTACCCCCAGCTGAGGCATCTAAAAGCATGTTTGAGTTGTGAGACCTATGGTAATATTATGCATTGGATCCATACTACTCATATTGTGATTCGAACATCTTTGGAGTAACAACTTGAATCTCTCCCATACATCTAACACTGACTCATAATCACTTTAATCAAAGCTTGAGGTTTCTGATCTTCTTTCTACAAACTAAGCGTGTGTTAAAAATATCTCCAGAAACCTATCTTCAAACTCTAAATGGTCATGTTGGGTAAACATTACAACCAGTTTTTTGCTCTTCCTATCAGGGAGAAACCAAATAACCGTAATTTCACCTGATCTTCAGTCACATCGTTCGGGTTGAACATCAAACATGTTTCATAAAATATATCCAAATGCTCACAAGGATCTTTGATAAATTGTCCATCGAATTGTTTGTCCCTTAAATCTTAAAGCATATAATTTTTAATATCAAAAGTTATAGTGTTAGCCGGTTGAAATCCTATCGATATCTGTTCAGCATTAGTCCCCCTGCAATTGTCTCATAACGTTTGTCTCGCTGTGTGCACTTTTCTTTCAATTTCTGGGTCAGTCAATATCAACATCGAATTCACACATTACATAAACAAACAAACAATATCTTATTAGCACCACACCACACAGAACAAAATAAAAGTAGAAATTAAAATTAAAATCAAAATCAATATTACTAAATTAAAGTAAGAAATTTAAAACTAAAATTACTAACAAAAATATATATATAAATTGCAAAATTGAAAACGTCGCACTAAATTACCTTGCTGAAATTACCAACAATCATCGGCAATGACGCCAAAAACTTAATGTACAATTCTAGCAAGTTTACTTGTATCGTCGAAGTAATAAATAAAATTTGTCTCCACGGATATTGCGAATTTTAACAAAGTAAATAATAATAGGGGGGCTTTCAAGGTTTCTTTGGTTCACAGATAAAATGAGAAAATACTTGGAATAAAATTCAATGACTAAAGGCAATTATATCTTCTTTAACTCCCCTACTCATGTTTTTTTTATGAGTTGTGCATTAATCAAATTTGTAATATGTTAAAGTATTGCGACGAATTAACACTTCCATTGCATCCAATTCTTTGGTGTACAGCTCACCAATCTACACAATAATTTCTTAATTTGTTAGGCCAATACATATTTAAATTAGACTTTCTAAGTTCGTTCTTTAGTTAATCACAAAGTTGAATACTTAGCCTAGATCCGATCAAAAGGCTAACGGTCAGAAGTCCCTACTCATCTGATATTGATTCATACATTTGTCAATACATAAAAAAGCAATAAACACGAGGACAAATAAATAATAACAATAACATAAATTAATTCTATTAACATTAAACGACTATATGATCTAACAAGAACAAACAAGTTTGTTTAAAAATACATAATCTAAGGAATCTAACTACTCATAGTGAAGACAACAAATTTATTGAGTTTAGATGGGGAAAACATGAAAATCAAGGAAGATAGAGGTCTTCAAAGGCTTCCAAAATCCTCAAAATTGTCACTTTGGTATCCCAAACCATCATTTTCTCTATCAAATTCCAGAATCCCCCAAAAAGTGCATAAAAAGATCTATTTATAGCAAAATTTGTGTCGCAGCATAACGCGCCATCACCCCACAATGCTATTTATCACGCCAAAATAATTCAAGGGGCTAGATCTCTCTTTTATCAAATTACTGGACAGACATCGTGGTGTAAATTGTGTTGATAATTGCTTGGTTCTTCATGATTTCTTCACAATTGATTGGTTTTGCTTTGTTTATTCAACTTATATTCTTCTCATTTATTCTTCATTTTATCTCATATTTTGCTCAAAATTAATTCGATTAAACCGAAATCGCTCATAAATATTACGTAATGACTGAGTGTCATCACAACTTCAAACTTACTTTGTTGCTTATCCTCAAGTAACTTATCTGCACAATAAAAATTTCATCAAAAATAAAATGCCTACCCTACCAATGAACGCCACCTTTCTTATTTTGATCAACATGTCTGCTCCCTGCTTCAATTCAATTAACTCAAAAAAGTTCTTCAAACACACAAATACTCAACCTGTCTCTCATCTCACCTTTATTCACTCAATTTGACAATGTAATCACACGATCAACATACATAAACATTTAACAATAAGTTTGTAAATTTCCTATCAAAGTCAATCAAATTCATATTTGAACACACATTTTTTAGGTCTTTTTATGGTTGTAACGTGGCTTATGTCATCGTAGAATATTTTGGGATAATAGGCTTAAACCTTTAGAGTTATGTTTGTATTTTTCTTTATGTTACCTGATTCCTTTTATATCACTCTTTACTTGATTATTCGGTACTAGAGAATGCGTTTGTTTGTTGGTATATTCATCTTTCTTTCTTTTTCATAGAAAAAGTCATTTTTAACTTCTTGTTTTTCTTTTTCTTTCTTTTCTTTCTTTTGACAAATTTTTCTAGTACCCCAATCCCAAACATAAATTTTGCAAATTTCAAAGATCAACCTGAAACTTATACAATTTCATCAGACAAGAAAATAAACTTTTCTACCTAACTCCAAAGAGGGTGGAAAGATTTGATCTTTCAAGCCAAAGGATTATATAAAAGGCTATTTCATCGAAAGAACGACTAAGGCTCAAAGAAGCAATTCAAATTCAAGAAAATAACTACTATACAAATACTCTCATAAGAAACAAAAGTGAACAATGGAAATATTTGGATCAAAACTTACAAGATGAGGTATTTAGAGATTGAGTACAAGTAGATGGCTTCCATTTTCTTCATAAACTTTGAATTTGCAAGGACACTTCAATGTTGATCACTTTTTTTCATTCTTTTTCTGGTGACTTTTGTTTTTCTTTTTTATATTGGCACTAGTAAGATAGAAAACTATAACTGAAAGAAATACAGTGACAAACTGATCAATCAATTCACAACATAGAGAAGTACAAAAAGGCAAGAGCATTTTTTAAAACTAACTATTACTCTTTCTTGGATCATAGTTCAAAAAGGGAAATAAACTAAATTAACAAGTAAAATTGAAATAAAGCTAAATAACACCTATTTGTGGGTTGTCACCCACACAACGCTTGTTTAAGGTCTTTAGCTTGACTATTTATTTCTCTAATCGGGTTCTTCTTTCATACTTGTAATAGTGTATCTAATTGGTTTGAAATTGAACTTGCTCTTGTGCATATAGTTAGTCAGATATCTCCCCTTTATACCACATATGTTCCTGTCACATTTTTCCCTATTATTTCTCAACACTCTTCTAGATCTCTCTTTTTTCAAATTAGATAAGGGACTCCAAATTCGAGCAGGCGGTCTCAGTTGTTTTGTCAAGAGAGCAAGCTTTAACTAGAGAGGAATCTCTTTTATTTCAAAGATCTTGGATTATTGAGCTTTTGTTGTCACTAAGACAATTAGTTTAAGATTACTCAAGGTCTCACCTTTTGACATGATATGCTGATATTCCTTTACTTCTTTTTCTTTTCCTTCGTTGATTGTGTCAATAGAATTTACCATAGGCATTTTCCGACTACCTCCTCCACTACATCAACTCTATAGCATTGAAGTTTCTCCTTTTTATGTTTTACAGTGTCATACCCCAAATTTTTCCGAAAATTTTAAAATTTTTTATGCATCTAATTTTATTTTATTTTGCATTATCTGCATAAGATAACATATATTTAATCATGCATAATACCTTAAATATCGATCAGAATAAATTTTCGAATCTAAAAACAGAATTAATTTATTATTCTTTCATATGTTTAACATTGCTTGAATTTTACTTTTTCCGTTTATTATCCTTTACATTTGTTATCTGAAATAATTAAAAAGATTGGGCTGATAATTATTCCAAGTGGTCATTAGTTGGCTAATAAAATATCTATGGTAAAATAAATACATACATTTAAGGGAGAAATCTAATGACGTGCCTTATAAAACGAGAGAAATAAAAAACATATCAGCTCAGTGTACAGTTGAACATCTAATTTATAAAGCTTACTAGAATAACATCCTCAAATCTATGCCTGTTATAATTAACTCAACAATGAAATGCCAAAATTGGTGAATTACTAAATTTCAGCTAATGTTATCCGTTTAACAAGGGAACATTTTCTGGTAAAATTAATTCAAAGCATGTGTATATATAGAATCAATATCACAAGGTGAGAAGATAGAGTAGCTAACCCTAAAAGGCATTTGAAAAACACTGCTAGGAAAAAAGAAAAAAAAATATTGTATAGTTGTTTTATAGTAATATGGAAGGAACACGTGATAATATCAACAGTGGTGATCGTAACCAGAAGCAATGGTTTACACTTGTTGGTGTCTTTTACATTCTTCTTATCGCTGCGGTCGGAACCGATGCGGCCGGGATAACGCGCGACGGCCTTGGAGGACCAGGAGAACAAAAGGACGTTGAAAGTCTTTGTCAATCAGACCCAGATAAATGTAACAAGAAACTAGGAAGATTGTTTAACGGAACAATAAACATAAAAGATAGTATAAAAAACGCACTCATTGCAGACGCCGAGGAGTTACAGAAACACATAAACAATCCAGTTCTCTATAAGGAATTGGTAAAAGACAACAAGACGAAACAAGCGATGCGAATTTGTGACGAAGTAATGGATAACGCTGTTGATGAAGTTAATAAATCCGTTGGTGAATTAGACACATTTGATTTCAATAAGTTTAGTGACTTTGTTTTCGATCTTCAAGTTTGGATAACTGCTACACTTTCAGATCAACAAACATGTTTGGATGCTTTTGAGGAAGTAGACACAAAAGCTAGTGAGAGAATGGCTCAGATTTTGAGCAATTCTATGAAGTTAAGCGATACTGCTATGGACATGATTAATTCTGTTTCGGAATTACTTAAGGATTTTGGTCAAGTTCCAAGTGGTCTTAACAGGAGGCTTTTATCCGATGAATCGGAAAAACTTGTTGATGATTTTAGTCATAGATGACATCTTTGTCCCTGAAGGTTACCAAGCATGGATGGAAAATGCATTTACCGACACATGTATTTTTTGAGTATAACAATAAAGGTCCTGGTGCTGACACGAAAGGAAGAGTTAAATGGCCTAATGCTAAAACTATATCTGCTAATGAGGATGACGAGTTCTGTGGTACCTTTTTCCTTGGTCCTATGAGCGGTGGTTCTGCGCCTTCGGCTTCATCTTCTCCGGTGACTGCGTCTGCGCCTTTTAAGTCTTCTTCGCTTCTTACACCTTCGTCTTCTAAGGCTTCGGCTGCTAAGGGGTCTTGAGTTTGGTTAACAAATTTAAAGTTAAGAACAACACCAAGAGCGGGATTGGTTAGTCAGTCCATTAATTTAGATATTGCTATGAAATAAATCAAAACTATAGCATTATATTCTTTAATTACATATCAGAAATTTTAATGATATTGAACAAGTTAGTAATGATAAAAAGTGGTTATTTAATTAAGAACAATGTCTGTACTGTTTTAATCATTTAGGAAACAGTTTTATTTTCTTGCTACTGTGAGCAATACAATGGTGTAATATGTTCATTATGTCAAACATGTCTGAGAAAGGTAATGAAGATTGGCACCCAGTTAAGAACCTGTAAGGCATCCATCTTGATTCAAACATTAAGAAGTATCTCGGACACTCAGACCTATTCGCACAGACACTCAGACCTATTCGCACAGAGTTTAACGGATATGAGGGACATTGATTTTAGAGAGATAATATTCTTCCACCATCTTTTACCTCTACACTGTATTTCGATGTTCACCAATACGAGAACAGTGAAATATTATAAAATTAAATATATTTTTTTTAAAAAAATATAATTTTTTTTTAAAATTAAATGATATTGATATGAAATTGTGTGATTAACCAACTTTATAATTCCATTAACCATTATTTTACATATTATTAACCAATTTTATTTATTGTTAAAAATTATTTTTAATTCTGTGCGTTTATTAACCAATTTCATCACTTCATTAACCAATTTTTTATATTTCATTAACCAACTTTATTTCATAATTTAAAAAACTATTCACAAATACTGTTCACGAGTACTGTTCATGGTACTGTTCATACACTGTTCCGCACTGTTCATGCACTGTTCACCGTATTGGTGAACAGTGCATACTGTGTAGTATAGTTTTTGGTGTCAACATAGCATTGTTGTTGATTTTATGATAATTATTTATGTTTAGGGAAGATAAAATAGATTCAGTCTGTCAAATATGTCTATTTTTATTTTATTTTTTTTGACGGATCAAAGTTTTATAACCGCAATCTTTAATATATCCGCTCCATCTTTTTTGTTTAAAAAAAACGACATGATTGAAACGCTTTGTTGTTCAGAGACAAAATCCTAGAAAAGTAAGGCTTTTATCAAAGCGATCATATTTTCAATGTGGTTTACTAATGTCTTAATTGTAAATAAAAACAATGGAAAATGTAAGTGACAAAATGGATGGATTAGATGGATATGGATTGGATTGTTAATGGATGGATCAAAGCAATCAATTAATCCATTAACAATCCACTAAACTCTTTTAATAAAAATTCAATCCAATCCATCCATTAAAAGATAAAATACATTCAATCCATCCATTAACATATTTCTAATGGATGAATATCCATCCATCCAAAAAATTAATTTAAAAACTTTTAATTATTTTTTAAATTTCATAGAAACATAATTTAAGTATTTGTGTTTAGAACACTACTTGAAAACGACTATTCTCCTCAGAAATGAAATGGTCCAAATGTTCCTGGAAATTCTTGTTCCCCTTGGACCATTTGTATTTATCTGTATTTGGATCCTTATTCACGGATCTCTCGGTTCGATAAATAAAAAGAAGAGGATCAAAACATCTCTTCGGACTCTTTTTCCAATTTGAGAAACGTTGATTGATCATGTGTTTCCTTAGAGGTATATGATTATGAATATCATTTTCATACATTTTAATTACATATTCTAAGTTGCGATTGAATCGATTACCTTGAAAAGAATTCCCACAAGAGGTCTGGACCCATTTTTTTATGATCTTTGGATAAAAAGATTCATTCGCTTCGTAAAAAAGTCGAGGCAGAACCAATAAAGATTTCTTTTTTGATTCATCCCTGGAGTTGAATACTTGATTTACAAATTGTTTATCATCAATTTTCGACAAATCAATAGAAAAAGAGAATCCAGTATGATACACCAGATCTGGCTTAGTTATTGAGAGATTGAATAGATTTGCCATTTCTTGAAATCTCTCTTCTGATTGAAAATCGCGATGTAACAAGTACCCCCTATTCTGGTCATGGAATAGATCAAATAAACCAAAAACTAGATTTTTGTTCAAGAATGAAATATGATTTGGAACTGTCAAAAGTTTCTCTTTTGCAACCCTATCACACCCTCTATCGGATGAAATAGGATGAATTGAGACATTATTTTGTAAATACATGATTATCTTAACTATATTGGCTATTTCTTTATTTTCCGATTGCCTCGAAAGAACAAAAGAAACATCTTCTTCTTTTTTAAATAATTTTATATCTTGAGCGGACTTCTCAGTAGGATTCAAATCCAGATGAAGTTCTGACCATCTGTCGCCGAAAAAAGAGCAATTATCTCTCTCAGATATTTTTTTTTTCTTTTGGACCAGACAAGAGCGGAACAATCAACCTAGTCATGACCAACCTATTGATATTGAACGAATCTTTTGAGTCTTCCAATGGATCATTCCCGGATCCAATGGAATTGATTTGTAAAGGAAGAAGCCCTGTCAAATAAATATTTTTTTTCGATCATCTTTCGATTGTTAATACGATATATAAGGATCGCTAGTAGAAATAAGACAAAATTCTTGATCGTGAAATATCTTGTTAAACCGCATGAAACTAGGATACTCCAAATTCTGGAGTCTAAGAGTTTGATGGAAAAAAATGTGAATGACAGATATGACTGAATGGAATTGTGTCCAGGAATCTGAGAAATAGGAAGAATTCTTGCTCTCTCTAAAAATGTCTCGCAATTCTAAAATCCAAATGTCTAAGTCATTTTTCTTCGTTTGATTCATATATCCCCCTTTATTTAAAAAAATTAAAAAAAATTGATGTATTTTTTTTATCGATTGTTTTTTCTATTCTATTTATTTCTCTTTTCTCTATGTATTTATTTATATCTAAACTGAGATATATCATCATACCAGCAACTTGATTTGCTATTTCACTCTCAATCTCTTGCCCTAAAAAAAGGAGTCTGTCGTAAAAAAGTTGATGGTATATGTTCTGGCCTGGGTCCAGCCTCGCGGTCCAGCCCAATAACGCACAAGGCCCAAAGAGGGTAATAGCTTGACCGGGCACACTCCCCATTAGGACGGGCGGGACACATTCTCCGCCAAGCGGAGCGGCACGTCTCGAAGCATCCTCGGCGCCCCCTGTTGGCCGAACGGAGGGCCCTCCGCGGACGACACTCCCCGTGCCATCGGGCAAGAACCCTTGGTTCTCCAACGTCCTCGCGTGCTCCCCTCCGCGGGCAGGACTCGCTTCCCTGTCGGGCAGGACTATGTGTCCTTCACACGCTCTCCACGTGATCCCCTCCGCGGGGACACGTCATCTCCCAACTGTCCACCTCCGAAAGAGCAGGTCAAACCCACTTTCCGGAGATCACGGGACAGTTGGACTAGGGCGAAGACCACATTCTGGTCTTCACTACGCCACGTAAGCCCTAACAATCATTAGGGTTGGGCCTGGTCATCCAGCCCACCTCAAATGACCGTTGGCCCAGCGCTGGGGTCTCTCTATAAATACCCTCTTCCTCAAGAGGGTCAGGTAATTCACTTCTTACCCCATTTTTGTACTTCGCTCTCACTCTGCCCAATTCCTTACTTTGGCATCGGAGTGTCTTGCAGGTACACCCCCTTTTTTTCTCCTCACCACCGGCGAACAGGTAGCAGTCCAACAGCGTGTGGCCAGCCCGTGATCCCCTCCTGGTCAGGTCAGATCAGTGGCGCCGTCTGTGGGAACAGAAACTTCCCCGTTACTCCGAGCAGAAAACCAAAGTTTCACCAACACTCCACGGTCATGGCTAGCCCACACCGCGACGACACCCCGCACGACTTTGTGCTCAACGTCGCCACCAACGGAAGCAAGCAGATGGAAACATCGCGTCCGGCGGAGACCGACGAGAGAGACGGCCAAACTGCCTCACCGTCATCCGTAGAGCGGCTGCACCAGGCCGACCGCCGGCCCCCGAGCCCGGTAGCATTCCAACCCGTTCCTATCCCAGCGAGAGCAGACCCAACGGTGGCCGCCCTCTTTGCGGCCATCAACCAGACGAACCAGCTGTTGTTCCAGCAGAACGCACAGATTGGAGCGTTGGAGCGGGTAGGCCCTCTGAGGTCCCCCCCCCCCCCCCCCCCCGCGGGAAGACCAGAACGGAGGCTCGAGGAGTCCCTCACCTCGACCCAGAAATCGCCGACCGCGGCTGGAGAGACACCGAACGCAGGTGGTGCGAGAACGCACCAGGTCCCCAGCAAGACAAGTTTGCGAGAGGCGCCAGAACACTGCAGCGATCCTGGCTAGGGATCCTCGCGGCGAAACCTCGGGCAGGAGGTCGAGAACCCGAAACCAGGTGCCTATTCTAAACGGCTTGTCTCCTCATCAGTCACCTGCTCCTAGCGACGAGGACGATTATCGCACTCCGCTGTCCCGGGAAATCATGGCTGCCCCCATCCCCCACGGGATGGAGAAGCCCTCGACACTATCGACGTACGACGACACATCCGACCCAGACGATCACTTGGAGGACATCGAAGCCATGCTCGACTACCGAAACGTCCGAGGAGCTATCAAGTGCAGGCTATTCCCGACGACCCTGAGGAAAGGCGCCATGACGTGGTACAAAAGTTTGGAGCCCGAATCGGTCACGTCGTGGAGAGTCCTGAAGGACCTGTTCTCTAAACACTTTACGGCGTCCCTGAGGCA